CGCGCCGTTATCAATATTATTCAGACTTTTATGCCGAATTTATACGTATATAAAATAAAAAATAAATTAATATAATAATTAATATATATATTATATATAGTATATATTAAATATATAATAGAATAATATAATAATAATAATTGTGTGTGTGTAACAGCCACCTCACCTCTGTCATAGGGTGGTATTTATAGTGTCAGTACTGGCTCTGTTGCACAAAAAAACGACGAAAACTATGAGAAGCAGTGGAACTGATCATACCTAGGGATGGGTACCGGTATCCGGTGCCATGATGGTACCGGCTCTGACATAAACGGTAGTAACCAGACCGAAAAGCAGCGCACATTTCGGTGCTTTATTTCGGTGCTTTTTTTTTTCCTGAGATGTCATACAGTTTGGATTCTAGCCAATCATTTTACCTTTGCAAGGATAGTAGGTGGGCCCAGGTACGTACGTTCTTTTAGAGCAGAGCTACAGATTAAAAATGCCCAAGGCGAAGCGGTCAAAAGTCTGGCTGTACTTCACAGCAAAAGATGCAAACTCAGCAGCCTGCAACAAGTGCTTTAAGGTGATACTGTGCAAAGGAGGTAACTCCTCGAATCTGATGAAACCTGGCGACGTATAGCATTTTGTTAAAAGCTGAGAAATGCGCCGTATTTGATAGCTTGCTGCGAGACCTCACATCGAGCACATCTACTGCGGGTGTGGTGCCTGTTAGATTTGTATTGTTGATTGTCATTTATGCTTAGAAATATTTACTTATATATGCTTAGAGTTTTGTAATTAGTTGTAGATTGGTAGAGGTTTTGATCCTTGATAGTCTGCAAACTTTGTGTGTATTAGACAGCACTTTGGGAGCATGAGAGGTCATACCGTGTCTTATTGTTTTATGGTAGGATTAACGTAGTTGCGTCTGTTCTAGTCTAAGTGCTCTTTGTTTAGATGAACTGCAGGACTTCCTCACCGTGTTATCTAGGGTGAACCATCTAGGGTGAGGGGGAGGCTACCCTCTTCCTGACCAAGGATGTTTGACCCTTTGATCAGCACACACACACAGTCACACACACACACTCACACACACACACACACACACACACACACACACACACACAGCAATGTACTGTTTGTGTGTATGTAGACGTCATATGTTAATGAACTTATGCATATTCAATAAAAGAACCTCAATAAAAAACAGATGGCTATTTTTTTTTCTGAAATTAAGCACTTTGTTTTAAGATGCACAATTTAGCCATTTTATTTATTTTCTCTAATTCATTTTAAACAGCAGCCCTATTTCTAATGTAGGCCTACTGTGTGTTTCAGTGTTAACAATAAATTTTGTTGAAATGTTTTAACTTGTATTTTCATTAATTTGACAGTCTATTGTTCATACGTTCAGATATAAATTTAAAAAAAAAAAAAAAGGTTGCTTCTCTATCACAATCATAACGTAAGTTAGACATTATGATGTCCCGGACCTCTGCTTGAGAAGATTTTCTCCAACTGGACCTCCTCAAATTTTAGTTTAATACCCCTGTCCTAGATATTTTTTTCTACATCTCATTATTACTTCTGCAGGGGGGTGAATTTCATTCAGTTCCATCGTGTTATATTTTTTCCACATAACTTCCACAAATGTGTCAGTTCTTGCAGAAAATATGCAGACAAAACATGACACTGGCCAAGATAATAAGGCTGATAGCAGCAGTCAAGAATGAAAAGTAAGAAGTTTGCATTTAGAAAAGAGAGCGACTTTACATGTCAGCACAATCACCGAATTTTATGGCCATGATCATGGGCAGTTAATGATATAAATAGATGACGGATACATTACTTTCCATTGTAAAGTAATTCACTTAGTCATTTCAGATCAAATATTAACAAGTAGTAGAATGCAACACATGTATCTCTTTACTGGACTTCCCTGGGATCAGTAAAGCAGACCAGTACAGACAAGGACTTTACTTTCACAAAGAGACAATGCTTGACTGTGTGGGAATGAGTTTTGTGTTGCTGCTCTCAGCAGTGGGAGCAGCAACAGTGGAGAGGTGAGTTTTGTTCATTAAATAGATCTGATCAGGGGTTGTTGTTTTTTTAAATAGATAATTACCTTCAAAATATTCTTAGCATACAAATCCTTGTGATGTTGGTATAAGTTGGACAAAGCTTTCACTTTTGTTACTTCCTTCTACTTCTGCTACTCTTCACTATTTGCTGACTTTCATTGTTTAAAGTGGTACACTGAAGATTAACGGCTGGGAAGCGTTCAAGATGTTAAGATGGTGTTGAGAATTTTAAAGTATTTTTAAAGAGTAAAAATGATCTACACATCGACACATCTGCACATCATCAGCTACAACCTGTTTAACTAAAAATAGCTTAAAGACAAATAAATATTAAAACTGAGATCATTTTGTATATTTATGTGTACACAAACAAGGAAGTTGTCTTGATGTAATTCTTTTATTATTATAAATACACATATATTCTAACTATATACAAAAGGGTTTTGAATTGGGGACAGGGGTCAATATGGGCTATGGGCTGAATATGGGATATTGTAAGACAGTTGAGCAGAGAGCAGGGCGTGGAGGGTTGTAAAGTATCCAATGGCCTAGTGAAAGAAACTTTATTGTGCTTTTAAATATATAATAATTTTTCATTTGGTGGTAGCAAGATTTTTTTTTAAGTTTAAACATGCTCATCTTCATCCTTCTTCTCTGTAATAATATGGAGGAGGCTGGCTGCTGTAGTCTATAGAGCAGGGGACCCGGGAGCAACTTGCAGCCCACGTCACCCCTACTTGCGGCCCGTATATTGACATGAAGAAATATAATTCAGTTTGGCCCTTGAAGTTACTTTTTTTGTTAGGGAGGATTTGTTTGTTGTTGAGTGCAATGTTAAAATAAGTTTTTTCTTTTTTGTACTACTTGAACACTTAAGTCGCCCTCACATGAGACGTCAGCGCCGGCAGTGGCCCACAGCTCATTTAAGTTTGAGACCCCGGCTCTAGAGCAAAGCATTTTCCTATTATAGCACTTCAGCTGCTCAGTAGTTCATGGCACCTTTTCTCTAATTTTTTATTTCATAATGTGTCAAACATGGTTGAACAGATTCCTTTACTAAACACCTATGTTGCTGTAATTTGTGCAGAATGTGGTTTTGTGAAAAATTTGACAATGGACCCTTGTACCATCACCGATGCTGGCTTTTTAGCTTGTACTGACCAACAGCTGGATAGACTGCCTTTGAAGCAGTTAAAAATTGATTATTGCAGGCTTGTAATTTTAAAAACTATTAACTACAACCCAGATAAAAGAGCATACTATTATTGAGGTATGATTAACGTCAACTGCTTCTCAAGATTTTCGTGTATTTTTTGTGCAACAGAGCCCAGTATGACTACTATAAATACCACCCCATGTCAGAGGTGAGACACACATAACTCAGATGCCACATCTCTCTCACACACATGCACACACACACACACACACACACATTTTTTAAAATATGCTGTTTATACAGCACTGTACAAAAGTCTTGAGCTAGCCCTCATTTTGTTAATGTTTTCCAAGAAAAACAGGAAACAGATGCAATAATTTACTGGAACATGCAACATTTATGGAAATGTGATAATTTTGCACCTCGCCCCTGACTCCTCCGTACAGATTGATCCCGATTTGAACCAAATCAACCTCATCACTCCATAAGACCAATTTTGGTTCAATTCAGTTTTATTTCTATAGCACCAAATCACAACAGTTGGCCAAAGGCACTTTCTTTGCTAAGTTGTCTATTATAGCGATGCAACACCGGTTTATCCCTTTAGATATGTGACTTTTTTAACTTCATATTTCCATAAGTTCATGGTGATTTAACAGTTGTTTAATGCACACACACACAAAAAAAAACAATACTCTTCTTGAAATGGCCAGATACAAGAACTGGACTGAAAATGGGTGAAAAAGAAGCAAGTTACCGAAGAAAAACTTTGAAGGATATCCAGAAAATCTGCAGAACTATTGCTAAAGACCCTAAGTCTGGAAGCAAATTATCAAGAAATGAGGGGTTTGATACATGTTTGTGCGTGTGTGGATATTAGAGAAAGACAGCTAACCAGTCAAACGTTTGTAAGACTGCAGTATATGTTGGTACTCCATTTTACAGATCACTAGCTGGATGGAACAGATGGTAAAGGATCACCCTGATGTTGTAACCGTGGTGAAATATGGAAAGACCTATGAAAGCAGGGATATTAGCTTGCTCAAGGTAAACAAAGTTTCAGATCACAAGCTGGCATATGCCAAATGGATACTGATGCACACGGATGTTTGATATTTGTTCTCCAGATTGGCCTGAATACTGGAAAGGAAAAGAAAGCTATCTGGATGGACTGTGGAATACATGCCAGAGAATGGATCGCTCCAGCCTTCTGCCAGTACTTTGTTAGAGAGGTAAGAGAGCTGCTGTCAATATACCTCCACCAGGACTCATAGGACCCTTCTAGGGGTAAAGTTAATGCTAGGGGGATTTTGTTAGCCACTTTTATTCTAGAAACAAGAACATTTCATTTTAAATAACGTATTTGGTATTGTAGTATTTCTTTTTAACTATTTTAAGTTTGAATTTTCCAGAACATGCATAAATTCTATTAAAAAGGGTGGAGATTAACCTAACCCTACCCCTAGTTTGATTGCCAGTGACCTGACCTGAGTGTGATTGATGTTAAAAGGCAATAAATATATAAATAAAATTAAGATTTACAGCAAATCTTCTAATTTGTTGTCCTGATTGTTTTCTGTTGTGAGGAGAAAACATCCTGTCTGACAAAATGAATCTAATTTAATAACTAAATGTCCTCCAGTGTGTCAGCCTGCCCCTGATGTGTGTTCGTCTGTTCCAAACAGATTCTGCAGACATACAAAACAGATGCCAAAATGGAAGAGATGATGAAGAACGTGGACTTCTACGTCACTCCAGTGCTCAATATAGACGGCTACATCTACACGTGGGAAAATAAGACAGTCAGTCCTCGTATTTGATAGATATTTACAGTATCCAATTACATTTCTAGGGTTATGCACTCAGGATCTCAAACCACAGATGAACAGGATATAATAGGATGATTATCTGAGTGACTGAAGATGTAACTGATTAAATGAGCCATAATTCAATCTTTGAAGAAATTTATTTCTTGTGCTCAAAAACCTTCAAGTACAAAATAATTGAATGTTTTACAGTAAGACACATGGAATAATAATGAACAGCATCAATTGCAGGAAGCATTTAATATCTACAAAAATGTTGTGCTGCCATTTTATTTATGACTGACTGAACATTTTGCTCCACTCAGACTCGACTGTGGAGGAAGAACAGGTCACCAGGTCCTGAGGACTGCAGCTGCTATGGCACCGATCTCAACCGCAACTTTGATGCCAACTGGGGAAGTGAGTGATGTAGCTGTTCTTCAGTGAAAGCTGATTGTTGCAGTCTTTCCTTTTTATTTAATTTTTTATTGCTGTTTTTGAAATTATGGCCAAGCATGAAACTCTCCTCAGGTCTTTGGAGAACTTTTGGCATCTTTTACCTTATTTCTGTGACTCACTGGTTTTATTAATGAAACTCTTTTCCACCAATCTGTGCTTAAACCATATGCATCACAGTTTTATGTACAATTCTAAGATTCATCAGTGTCTTCTCAAAAGAACTGGTTCCTAGCTAAACTCAGACACTACATAAACATCAAAAATGAAAGACAGACTGCCTGAGATAACTTAAATACACATCGTAGTCTAAGGAGCTTAGAAAGAAAAGCGTCTGGACTTCTTTAAGCTGCTTGAAGACATTTCACCTCTCATCCGAGAAGCTTCTTCAGTTCTAAGAGCAACTGGTGGAGAGTCCCAGATTTAAGCCCTATGGGAGTGTCCCCAAGAGGGTCATGGACCCCCTATTGATCCTCTACCTAATCACATGAATGAAGGTGTGAAAACGGGTGTAGGTCACAATCAGCCAAGGTTTCAGGTGTCCTATCATGTGATTTCCTGAGGTGAAAAGGCCCAGGGTGTGAGTGGGCGTTAAACCATCTGGGAAGGGATCACAAATCTGGATTATAGATGGCAGACAGTTGGTGTCGTAAACCACCTCCTCTGTTCAAAGATGGTCGTTCACAGTGCACATAAATGGCTTCTTTCACTCCTCTTTCAAACCGTCTGTCTTCTCTGTCCAAAATGTGAACATCGGCTTCCTCGAAAGGTCCTCTTGTTTGAGGATGCCAATGTTAATGCCCACTCACATCCTGGGCCTTTTGACCTCAGGAATTTATGATAAGGTGGGGCTAGGTTTCACAGCGGTTCCACCCAAAACCTTGGCTGATTTTGACCTGCCTACTGGTGGTGGTCAGAGGGCCCAGTGGCGCCAGTGTCCGGCAGCCTCGCCTCTGTCAGTGCGCCCCAGGGCGGCTGTGGCTACAATGTAGCTTGCCATCACCAGTGTGTGAATGGGTGGATGACTAAATGTAGTGTGAAGCGCTTTGGGGTCCTTAGGGACTAGAAAAGCGCTATACAAATGCAGACCATTTACCAAAGAAGTCCAGATGCTTTTCTTTCCAAGCTCTTTAGACTACGATGACCTGGATGACTGAGAACCTTCACAGACTTAAACACACATCTTTAAGTGTGCATTACTCTTATTCCCTATATACATGACAATAAAGTGCACACATTTCATTAATCAGACAACACTGTCACAACACAGGAGTCATGGTAAAGTTCTAAGTTATTACATGTCAGATGAACAAAGCTGACTCAGTGACTGCCAGGTTCCCAGGTCCTGTGGCTGCCAAAGAAGCCCAAATCATCACCTCCCATTTTGTAATGAATTGGCTGGGATGTCCTGGGAAGATTGGCAACGGTCTTGAATGTTTTAACTTGTGAATAATCTCTCTCAGTGTGGAATGATGAGCTTCAAACTCTCTGGAAATGCTATTATAAGCTCTCCCAAATTAATGGACAGCAACTATTACTTCTCTAAGAAGACTGCTGATGTCTTTTGTTCTTGGCATTGTGGTAACACACACCTGAGTTCTCCAAACCAGCAAACTGGCAACTTTTATAGAGGGGCTCAGACTTGCTGATGACCAATTAATGTAGTGAATCTGATTAGCAGGGCCTGGCTGCTACTTACTCTCTTAATTCTTATGTTACCAGGCAGGGTGTTCTAAAATTTTTAAAAACTCCACATCTGCATTTTGGCTTACGTTTTATAAAATAAATAATGTAAAATGTCATGCATCGTTGTTCATCTAAGGGAGTATCTACCTAGTTTGAAGACCTGCTAAGTACCAGATTATATGTATTTTATTATACTTTGATATGCAAAAGTTAGAAAACCTTAAAAAAAGACTACTTCTGTCAAGCGAGGGTGTGTCGCAGGCAGCGAGAGGACCCAAAATGTAGGACTTGGCAGTCAGGCTTAATTGAACTCAAACAGCTTTAATGCTGCAGCTCGCAAACAAAATACAAAACAACAAGACACACGACTTAAACTGACAACAGGAATGATGACATGGCAAAGATCAAAGGGAAACTGAGGACTTAAATAGACATGAGGTTTATCAGGGAAAGAGACAAAGCTGGGGAAAACAAGGCACAGGTGAACAGAATCAATTAAAGAGCAAGGGGGAACACAAAACCTGAAGGACAAGAGACTATCAAAATAAAACAGGAAACTAACTCTAAGATTAAAACACAGGAATTTAGCAGGCCAAAGTAAACACGAAGACAAAACTGACTAAACACAGACATATCAGAAACACAAGCTAGGCCTGGGGAACATAGGAGGGCTCAATACAAAATCAGAATGAAAACCTAACCAAAGGTAATATTTGAACTGAACACTACAACAAAGTCAAATGGGAAAAATCAAACAGAAAACGGAGTCCCAAACAGAAAACGCTGGGTACAAAACCCAGGATCATGACAACTTCCTTTTTACAGTGACTGTATCTACATACATGCTAGAATTGAAGTTCAGTGTTGCTTAGTGGAGAAAGACATGCTAAAAGTAAAGATGAAAGCAAAGAAAACACTAAACTTTGCTTCCTCCAATTTGCCAAAATCAAGATGCTAGTGCTAACGTAGCTTTAGCTTATCACGCTATACAAAAACCATTAAACCTCATCCGTGAATAGGAAACAATGTTAACAGACTCATATTTTGTTTGATGTTTGAACCAAGTAGCCAAAAAACGTTTATAAGTTATAGATATACCCATATGGAAAAGATATATATAAATCTTATAAAGTTTGTATCTGTCTTGTGTGAAACTTGTATGAAAAGCATATAAGTGTGAAAACAGATATAAGATCCCTTGAAAAATTATATAATGAAACTTGTATGTTTTGGATACTTACTAAAACAATGTATGAAAGTAATGAGAAAGTGGCCACTTTCATGAGTAAATCACATATAAGTTTTTACTATTTCTTTTCCGTATGGGTATGCTCCAAAGGTCAAAGTGTATATCATGACATCACCTAGAGACTTTGGACTCCATTTTGAAGCCTCAGCATTTGGTCACTTCCATTTTGTTTTTTTTAGAGTCACAAGTATTTGAAGATGAGGGTAGAGTGCAAAGTTATCTGCTAAAGCTATTGGCTTTGTTAGCAAGCTCCATTAAGTATAGACACACATATCTGTCAATTATTACTAAGCAACAAAACTGATAAAATACCAGAACTTTAATCACCGCTCATCCACGTACCAGGCTACATTACCTGTTAGATAATTCCATTGCAAATATCGCAACAGCAACAAACAGCAAAAACAATAGAGATATCCAGTTCAGTGACTTGAATTAGCAATGGTGAGACACTGTTTAACTACTTGTCTATAAAAAAAAACAAAAAAACAATTAAAACAGGAGTCTATGAGGTTTGACTCACTTTGGGAAGCAGCCTCAAGAGGAACTGTAATTTGTATCCTAATTCTTCAGTCCAGGGGTTACTACTACTTCAAAAGGTAAACTTGTGTTAATAGAATGTGAAAATAATCATGTTAATATTATATGCAATTCATATTGTCCTTCTTTGCCTGCACAGCCGTTGGGGTATCATTTGACTGTTGCTCAAACACCTACCCTGGAACCAAACCAACATCTGAGCCTGAGGCCAAGGCTGTAACTGACTTTGTAGGAAGCCGAAAGGACATCTTCCTGTGTTTCCTCACCATCCACTCCTACGGCCAGCTGATCCTGGTTCCCTATGGACACCCCAACTACACTGCCCCCAATTATAATGAGCTGGTATTTATATCAACAAATATAGTGATGCATTTTTTTACACTTTTCTGAGACACTCTTTATAGCTTGACAATGGTTATATCTGTGTGCATTTACATTAATAAAGAGGATAGCAAGTAAGGAAATGGGTAAATGCACTAGGACATTAAATTCATGCTCATGTGCCAAGAAAGAACAGTGCAGATGAGGTATTGGGTCAAAAATCTGGAGCCAAAATACCAAACTTTGGTTGGTCGTTTAGGGATTCAATTCTTCTAATCTTGTTAGGAATCCAAAACACTCAAAATAAATCACTGATAAAGACTCTCATCTTTCCCAAAGTAGTTCCCAGACTGACAACAAGATGCATGAGATCTTTTAAGTCCTGTAAGTTCCAAAGTGGGGCCTTCAAGAATTGGACTTGTTTGTCAAGCTCATCCCATGGATGCTTGATTGGATTGAGATCTTGGGAATTTGGAGGCAGAGCCCAAACCTCAAACTCATTGTTGTGTTCCTCAAGTAATTCCTGAACCAGTTTTCCATTGTTCTTCCTGAAAGAGGCCAGAGCCACCACGGAATACTGTAACCATAAAATGAAAGGGTGTACACGGCCTGCAACAATACTTAGGTAGGTAGGTAGATAGTACTGTCAGTCCTTCCATCCATGTGGTAGAACCCAAGGTTTCCCAGCAGGAAATTGCATCACACTGCCTCTGTCTGCCTCTGCATCCTGGTGCAACATGACTGGTCTACAGTTATGCCGCCCCATACAAAAGAAACTGTGATGAACCGGGTATTCTGACACCTTTCTATCAGAATCAGCGTTACATTTGTCTAACAATTTGAGCTACAGTAGCTTGTCTGTGGGAGCAGACCAAACAGGCCAGCCTGAAGCCACATGCTTCAGTGAGACTTGGCCACCGATGACCCTGTTGCTGTTTCACCAATGTTTTCTTCTTGGACAACTTTTGATAGATACTGACCACCACAGACCAGGAACACCTCACAAGAGCTGTAGTTTTAAGATTACCCAGTTGTGTGGCCAGTTACTCAATTACTCACTTAAGCTTGCCCACTTTTCTGCTTCTAACACTTCAACTCTGAGAACAAATTGTTTACTTGATCCCTAATACATTGTACCCACAAACAGGTGCCATGATGAAGAGATAATCACTGCTATTCACTTCACCCATCAGTGAATCGCAGATATATAGAACAGCTACAAGGGTTTAAGTTTTTGCTGTTAAATAAAAGACATATATATAGCATTCTGACAAGTTTCATTTCATATCAGTCTTGTATAATGGCAGCCTAGTGGGGCAGACATTAGTGTTGTCACACTCATCCCGGTGCCTGGTGACTGGTTCCAGCTTCCTCCCACCCTCCAAAGACATGTAGGTCAAGCTGACTTTAGATATGGGTTAGATAAAGCTTTTAGCGGTCAGTAATATTGTGAATGAGCTAATATAAACACTAATCTGTTTCCAATAGTATGATGTATAATTTTTTTTTAAACTGTATCAAAATAAATTAATGCATTGTCATGTAACCAATTTTCTACTTTAAAAAAAGAAAGAAAAAAGATAGAGTTCATTGTTTTACCTTTACTTTGTGGTACAAAATTGTCAACAGAGCTTTAGGAAAGATCTCTGTAAAATACAAATAAGTACAGCAGTGAAATTCTGCATTACCTCTTAAAAGGTACAAAACTTACTTTGGTTTTGGAGAGTGTATTTTCTGAGATTACATATAATTTTTAAACTCCTGATGCAGATCGTTTGTTGTGATTAAGATGAATCTAGTAGGACCATTTTGATGTGGAACATTTGCAGGTGAAAAATAATCAATCACAATATAAACCATGTGACACCATGTCCCATGCACACTTGTTATTTCAGCCATCCCATACCAGATAATGTAAAGACATTTTTATATGTCTGGCTTTGCTAGATTTTATTTAGCTAGCTGATATTAAAATTACACGACTGAGTCTTAGTTACCAAAAGAAAATATAAAAAAAAATAATGCTCTCTAACTTGCGTTGATGATTCAGTACTTTTAATTGCTTTTAACTGAGTAGAGGCTGGAAAGCAGCCATTATATATGCATGAAAACTCAAAGTCCACAAAGAACAGTAAATTTTAAGAGGAGTAACAACACAGCTGAACTGATCACAGCCTGTCCAATAAATCTACTGGAGCTTACAGTACAAATTATTTTGGAAGTTTTATTAACACTAGTCTGATTTCAGTATATCTATACTTGGGTATCTTCACTTTCCAAACCCAGCATTAACTTCTGTACAAAAAGGATTAAGATGAACCATAAACCATGCAAAGCTACTCCAACAGAATCAAAGGATAAACATATAGAATAGGATAAGGGAACAGTAGGTCACAAATACTCATGGAGCACCATAACTTTTAAAACAGTATTGATTGCCTTATACAGTTAGTGGCATCTCATATCTTTCCTCTGAACTTTTATTAATGAAAACATACACCTCCAGATTCTGTGGACTCATGTTTAAGTGACTGTATGCAAAAATTCCTTTCTAATTCCTCAGATGATGGTCGGAAAGGGTGCAGCAGAAGCAATTTGGAAGGTTCACGGGATGAACTACACTGTAGGAGCCTCGCCTGATGTACTATGTGAGTTTACAAATCAGCTGCTAATTATAATAAAATAAACTGCCCATATCTTTAAATATTATGTTTGAAGGATTTTTAGGTGGTTCAGAAATGTAACTGCTAAACTCTTTCTCCAGACGCCAACTCTGGTTCATCCAGAGACTGGGCTCGAATGCAGGGGATCCCCTTAACCTTCACCTTTGAGCTCAGAGATAACGGGACGTACAGCTTCGAGCTTCCTGAAGACCAGATCCAGCCTACCTGTGAGGAGGCCTACAGCGGGGCTCTGCACATCATCACCTATGCCCACGACAAGACCTTTAGCGGTGCTGTAGCCAACGCTGCTGTGACCCTTTGGTCCATACTGTTAGCAGCGGGTGTCACTGGAGCCACCCTCATGTGAGGTGGAGAGCTGTTTGATTTCAGCCATCCTGCTGTATAAGGCACTCATATTTAGTTCTTCACCTCAAAGTCAGATTTAGAAACAGGATAAGCTTTAAAGGTTCAGTATTTGCTGGAAAGAAAAAGAACAGTTAATGTAGAATTCTTGTGCTCAAATTTTCTTTTATAATAAATAGAATAGTACTTACAGAGCATCTCCTCAGCAAATGTCCTTTTTCACAAGGTTTAAAGAAAGTGATTCTCCCCAATAATATTAGGACATAAACATTGTTTAAAATGCACTTTTTTCTTGCATTGTTTGTTTGTCAAGGCTAACAAACTGAGAAACTTGAATGCCTTAAATAAAAATACTGGCAGTGGCGAGTGCAACCGCTCAGCGTCCAGTAGCTGCACCTCTGGTATGAATTTCAAAATCCTGCCTTGCCTTTTTCTCAAGTTATTGCATTCACAAGATTTTCACAAAACTTCACTCTGACCTTGAGGTCAGGGTCACTGAGATTTATTGCATTATTTCAGAAAATACAGTATGTAATGTAAAAAAAAAAAAAAAAAAGACATGTGAGACAACAGCAGTTTTTAAACAGTGTTCCTGTATTATCCTTGTGGATTAACAGTTTTTCATAATATAACTGGAGGTTTCAGGGTCAACTGTCTTTGTTCCTGAATGGTTGAAAGCCTTGTTGCCTCAAGCGGGCCAGTGGCATGAAGAGCTGCTGCTCTGGAGGAAAATCATCCCAGCGTGTCCACGTCCAGCCTGCAAAATGAGAAAGCAACACATTTTGTTTCATCAGCTGCTCACTGGGTGCTTAGTGGAGGTGCTTTCCCCCCACTGAAAAACAGCAGTCCCACTTCACATACCTTCATTTTTGTCTGGTTCCAGGTTTTGTGGCTCCCCTGACTGCCTGTCCAACTCTCCTTGCATGAATATGGTAACATAATGGTACTGTTCCTCCAGCTTGATGGCGTTAACTACTGATGCAAAGTGGGTGTTCACCAAACCCACCCCAGCTTCTTCCAGCACCTCTCTTAGGGCACATTCCTCCCAAGTCTCCCTTTGAATGAAATAAAAAAAATAACATCTTATTTAACATTAGCTAAAGTACATTAACGGGCTTCTAAGGCTATTTCAGCTCTTTCTGCCTCCATTGTCTGCATGCATGGGAGTGCAAAAAAAAATTAGCAGCACTCCTGAGTTGTTTTGTTTTCATTTTTATACTGAGAAAATGTAATCTGTTCACAATTTCCAATTTGCCAAAAAAATGTTTTGGTCCAAAGTTTGGATGTATATGGAAGAGAGAATTGCAGAGCAAGCTGGATGAAGTGGTAGAGACTGTGCTCCCAGGCAGGAGGCAAAGAGGAAAACCACAAATATGACTGGTGGCTGTTGTGAAGGAGGATATGCAGAAGGTTGGTATGACAGTAGACGCATTTATGCTCAAACATTGCGTCAGACGTTAAAGTGCAACAAAACATATTGGAAATGGGTCCAGAGACCATTTTTAATTAAATATAACGTAAAAACTATTTGATAAATGAAGCTAAAAATTTAGCAGCAATCATTACATATATCAAAACTTTTCACCATAAAGTTTTAAGGCAAATCTGAGCTGATCAAGCAGAGAAGAATGCATCATTAGCATATATCACAGGTAATGGGATAAAGATGGTGTGGGACCTCTCGTCCCCATATTTCAGCCGGTTAGGGGACGGAACTACACCTGGTTGTCGCACGCCAACCACTTTAATTAAAGAGAAAGAAGAAGAAGAAAACTATGTCAGATTTATGAATGGAGTCTACAACGTCAATGTATACCCGAACTCCAGGTGACCTCCTGGGAGCTGGTATGTCCCTTTTCCCACCGCACTCTTCCGTTTGCCCAAGAGTACACAGCCTGGGTGAGCCGAGTCCGTTACCAGCACCCCGACCCCGACTCCAGGACGTTTAACGACATTATTTGGCATCTGAACGAAACTGAAAAATGGCTCCGAAATGAAAACAAGTTAGTTCAAATCACGCGACACCGCTATGCTACACAGTAGAGAAGCTCTTTGGATGACACAAGAAGCGTCTCCACCTTGTACTTCCGTGTTCGCTTAAAGCAAGCCGTGTCTGTTCTTGAGTTAGCGTTAAGTCGTTTTTATTCCGTCAATCTGGGTAGCAACAGTGATAAGCCGATATACTACCTTATATTATTAGTTCTATTTATCCGCTTCTTTTTAATTTAGTTAAATAGAAATGACTCGCACATTGTTCACTTTTGTCAACATTCGGCAAGTGGAACGGGTTATTTACAGGCTATTGCTTTAACATGAGTGCAGCACTGCCATCTAGTGAGTGGTTGTGGTTACACTAATAAAAGACCTGAGTTCAGGTATAAAAGTGTACAACAGTGGAGATTAGGGGCTCAGAAACTACTTTATTCATGATAAAGTTACAGTTCAGCAGTCTTTATTTATTTAAAAGATTTCAACTGACAAATAGTTCAGTTATTTGAAGGCAAACACAATGCAGAGAAAAGGTCAGGAAGATAATAGTTGGATATGTGCAACAGCAGTTTAAATCCTCATGTGGAGAGGAAAACTAATATATTTAATGGGTTTTTCCGATTATGGTACAGGCTCACACTGTGTTAGCGTTGTAATTACCACTGTTTTTCCAGCATGTAGACATCAATTATGGTGTGAAAAGTCATCAGACTCTGAGCACAAAACATTTATATTAAAAAAAAAAAAAATTACTGCCCAAAGATACCCACCACATCCTCTCTCCTATCTACTGCTGCTTTAGCTAACATGTTCCTCACCCAAAGTTAAGTCTTATTCAAAGATGACCGTGCAAACGTGTCGGGTTTTTTTTTTTTTTTTTTTTTACTTTCCAGTCTGTTCCCGGTGAAAATTTGTTGGTGAGTATTCTTTGTAGTGTCACATTTACTGTCTGATCAAAAGGAAGTCTGTCATTATCCAGTAAAAGCTTTTGTGAAACTGCAGATTAAAAGGAGTCAGAGCAACCTCCCAAATAAATGAGGCCAAAATAAACAGTGCATAATGGGCAGAAAGGAAGCTGGTTAAAATACACAAATTAGCTGGATTTGGATTTGCACTATTTGTGCCTATTTTCAAGGAGGCTGATGCTGGTAGTGAGACATTTTGGGAAAGTAACTGTGCCCAGTCTTTTGGACAGACACCTGAAAGTTGACTATTTTTCATCGTTTAATTGCAACACCCTCCATCAGATGTGTTCTATAGCTGCTCATGAAACTTGCAGAAAGATGCTGATATATTTTGGACAGTCCTACAAAACTATTTTAGGTTGTCAGTATTTCTCAGATGTCTTAATTGAACATGCCTTATTAGGTCATGCCACAGTGCTTCAGTGGGTTACCCCCTGTATCATTTTTGATACATAGAGATTTTATGTGTTTTTGAGACTTCTACAAGTATCTTTTTTTTTTTTTTACTCCCTTGACCTTTCCTTAAAGCTAAACTGACGTGTTGCCTTTCACAAACAAAATATTTCAACAGCAGGTGGGCGGGGCTTCCTAAGATCAGGGGTGGGGGAACTCCAGGCCTCAAGGGCTGGTGTCCTGTGGGTTTTAGATATAATCCTGGGTCAGCACACCTGAATCAGATGATTAGTTCATTACCAGGGCTCTGGAGAACTTCAAGAGGAGGTCATTTAGCCATTTAAATAAGATGTGTTGGATCAAGGACACACCTAAAACCTGCAGGACACCGGCCCTTGAGACCTGGAGTTCCCCAACACTGATGTAAATATTAGAGATATCCATCTCACTGACGTACCCCAGAGGTAACTATGGGGGAAAAAATACTGAAACTGAACAGTCAGCATGAATTTTGCAGGGATTAATTGAACATAACTCATTGTAGACACTTTCTGTGTTCAAAGCTACTCATTGGTTAATGAAAACTTTTACCACACTGTTTTACTAACAAACAATATATTCTGTCCCCAGACAACTTTCAGCTATTCTGACATTTCTATATTTATTTTTTTTAATAAATATCCTGTAAACATTTAGCAATACAAATAACTTGAATAAGTGATCGCAACGTGAACACTGTAAAAATGTTGAGTCTCAGGTGGACTCGGGGAAGACAGGACTAGCACCGTTGAAATGCAAAGCCCTGGCCTTAATTCAGCATCAGTTGATATCTCAGCAACACACGAATGTCTTGGAAACAAAATTTAAATGTCTTGTTTTTATTTATAGATGTAGTTCATTTTATAAGATGTTTTAATTCATTTTCTTTTAAAACAAACTTCTACATCTAACATTCTAACTGTATGTACACTCACTGGCAACTTTATTGGTTGCACCTTGCTAGTACCAGGTTGGGCCCTCCATTTGTCTTCAGAATTGCCTTAATAGACCATGACATAGATCCATCCAGGGGCTGGAAAGTCTGGTAATACATGGTACGGCTCATCAACTCTGGAAATCCTCCAGATATTTTGGTCCCTGCTGATATGATAGCATCACATAGTTGCTGCATTTCTCTGTATTTCTGTGGCAGAGGTTTTGTTGATTTGTCTGATGATAGGTCAGTTTTTTTCTATATTGTAACCACATCTATTCTAATGTTTACCACAAAGCAAGGACTGAATTTTTCAATTCTTCTATACCAATAATAATCTCATTTATCTTGTGGCCGTATAGGGGGACTTAAGCGTACATGTACTACTAGACTGAAAAGACTAGAATTAAATAAGAGTAATATGCTGCTTAGAGTTTAATACCTCAGCGTTACAATCTAATAATGTTAAATTGTCCTCATAATAAAGGAATAATCTACTCAAGTAGATTTTGCTACTACATGTAGTAATATTTACTTTCATAAAGAGCCCGAATATCTGTGCCATACTTTGTGATGTGCGGATTTGTCCACTCACACCTTTGGTTTCCTGGCATTCCACAGTTTTCCACCGACACCCGTTCTCCCCGCTAGACCTGCCTGGTGGCTCTGGTCCCGCCCAGCTCACCTGAGAGTGACAGACACTTTCCTCCTGTGAACCCAGGCTTCACACTACCTTCTGAATCTCTGGAGCTTGTTCTTCCATTCTTTGCGTGTTTAAAAGTCTCTGACTTGCTAACCATTTTGACTCTTTTTTTTTTTCTTTTTTTTTCTTTCATTAACAGCATTATGAGTGCAAAGCTGTGGACAGAGGAGCAGTTTAACTGCCCCGTGTGTCTGGATCTGCCAAATGATCCTGTCACCATCCCTTGCGGTCACAGCTACTGCATGGCCTGCATTAAGGACTACTGGACTAAAGATGACCCCAAAGGGATCTACAGCTGCCCTCAGTGCCGTCAGACCTTCTGCCCCAAGCCCTCCCTGTCCAGGAACACCATGCTGGCAGAGGCTGTGGAGCAGCTCCGCAAAGGAGCCCTCAAATCTGAAGTGCGTCAATCCATGCGACTCGCCAAAGAGAAGCTTTCCTCCTCGGTCGTACCATGTGACATGTGCAAAAATGAAAAACGAGCTGCAGTCAAGAGCTGCCTGGTGTGTATGAGCTCCTACTGCGAGGCCCATCTGAAGCCTCACCAGACAAAGAAATCCCTAAAGCAGCATGAGCTCATCCCACCGACAGGCAACCTGGCCGAAAAGATCTGCACCCAGCACAAATACCTGCAGGAGTTCTTCTGCCGACAGTGCAAGATGTTCATCTGCTGGCTGTGCACCAGCAACCAGCACAAAGGCCACGAGAGCGTGTCCACCAAGGTCGAAAGGCTGGAGAAGCAGGTAAGCAGAGGATGGGTGCTACATAATGACTGGGGCCAGTCAGACAGTTACCAGGGTGATCTAAAGTAAAATTAAAATGACTGGTTTGGGTGTTGGGAAAAATCTCCATAATTTTGTAAATGGAAGTTTACAGTCAATATTCTATAAATAAAGCATATCCGCCCTTCTCTGTGCTGTCCATTATTGTGTATAAAAGGTTTATTTGAAAGAAGTCAGTTATTTCCTTTTGTGTGCGACGCCGGGTGCAGCCAGGCTGAAGACATTCCTAACAACATTCCTAGCCTAGTCATTCATAATGCTCCACCCTCTCACGTTGTCTTCTGTGCCACCTACACACCTGCTTCCTTGTCTGTGGGTTTGTTTCTCTGATCTCGTGTCACGGCGTGCGTCTCTGCAGAAATTGCTGTCCGACCTGCAGTCAGCGAACCAACAGAAGTTGAAAGAGAGAGAGCAGGAGCTGAAAGACATGAAGAAGATGATGGAGCAGATGAAGGTTGGTCAGAATGAGACTTTTTTTTTTTTTTTTTTTTTTAAATGGAAAACAGGTTTTCTACAGGGTTTAAATAATATGATGGTGGTTTAGGGGCCTTAATTAGTTTTGTGTGTTCCTTGTGTGCGCAGCGTTCTGCTGATGTGGTGCACAATGAAGCGGAGCAGGTGCTGTCAGAGCTGCTGCGCTCTATGGAACGTCTTCAGGAGCTGCTGGAGGAGGTGATGGATCAGGCCAACCAGGAGAAGATGGGCCATGCACAAGAAGTTACAGATAGTCTGGAGGCTGAGATCAAGGAGCTGAAGAAAAGGGACACTGAGATGAAGGACCTGGCAAGCTGTGAAGACAACATCTACTACCTGCAGGTAGGCCGGACTGTGAAGCTCACTGAGTGAAAATATTGATCATGGACACAGCAGTGATTGCTTATTCTTTACACGTCTTATGACAGAAGGATAACAGCAAGAGTGTTAGGGAAAGTGTACTAGATGGTAATGAAACCTTTGGAGACAATGGCACTGTGGAAACGCTAAGGTTTTTGTTGGGAGTGACATCACATTGAGCATTTTGGAGACAAAATTAGAGCAACATGGTTAAGGTGCAAAGGCGACAGTGGATATTTTGAATTTTGAAGGATGTTAAATGGAGAGTTTGAGGCAGGTGGAAAAGAGGAAGACCACAGAGCAGGATATACAGTAATTTTTTTCTGAATCTCAAGACTCCTGATATCCTGATTAAATAATTTTTGTTGTGTTTTTTAACTAACTGCCATGTTTCCTCAGACATACGAGTCTATGAGCAGTCCTCTTGAGTCTGGGGATCTGCCAGCTGTGAAAGTCAATCACGAGGCTTCCTTTGAGCCTGTACGAGATGCCATCCTGGGTCTCAGGGAGCGAGTGGAAGATCTATGCAACCAGGAGCTGGGCAAGATCACTAAACAAGGTCTGTCCAAAGAGGCCTTTTGTTCTTATTCTGTCTTATTTTGTACCTCATTTAATGTAATTATCTGTGTTCTTTTAAAGTGAATGACACAACACTGTTCGCTCTGGGAGACTGTAAGTTCCAGGCATTGTTTATAGTTCGTTTTTGTTTTTTTCCAGCGTAATTATTAATGCATTCAAGTTTAGTGTGGTTTTTTTTTTTTGTTTTTGTTTTTTTTAATTGAACTTCTTCTAATCTTAGCCAACCGAAGCGGACAGAAAGGAGGGATTTTAAAATGTAAGGTTTGAATTTTCTTATTAAATCCAAATAAACGTTTTCACATTTTGCATGATGTTGGCAGAAAGATACCGATTTTCCTTTTTCTCTAGTGTTTTCTGGTCTCAGTGCCCGCAACACAAACGCCCGTCCACAGGGTATGTTTGGTGTTTTTTTTTCTGACCACATTTTGTCTAACATGACTGCATATTTACATCTTGTCGTCCAAGCTTGTTTAAATATTTGAAATAATTTGTAATTTCATTCTTTTTCTACAGCTTCTACACCCACTATCTCAATTGGAGGGCGAAGTACAGACAAACGAGGACTTGGTACTGTACTCTGATGATTGTTAAGCTTCATTTGACAACGTACAAAGGATTTCCCTGACATTGTCACTTTTTTTTATTCAGGTATAGGACTCAGGACTCAAGATGTGAGGAGCAGAGACACAGCACGAGGTGAGAGTTTGTATTTGTGCCGCTGTTTAAGCATTAATTTAAATTTCGCTCACAGCAGGGATAAAGTAGAGAAAAGTTTGTTTCAAAAGTCAGTTTCTTCCTTGGTTTTTAGACAGAACTAACACAAGCTCACCCAGACTGCAGGACAAACAGAGGAGAGAAGACAGAGATGCATGTGAGTTGACACTGGCATTAATATCATCACCCTTCATGATAATAATCTGGTTTTTACTTCCTACTGCAAGGTGTTTTTTTTTCTGCTTAAATGACAGTTCTTCCTTATTTTTAGTCAAGGCACATTGTGTTGAGTTACTCGACATTTGCATTTTCTGTGGCTCAGTTTCTCTTTATTAGAGTCACTGGGCTAACAGTATTCTCACTTAGGCAGAGGGTGGCTGTCTACAGGTCAGTCCTGGGTGGTGGTTCTTCTGCTGCTTAATCTTGCTAGCAGCACACCATCATCTGCACCTGTTCTATGCTAAAGGCAGATAGCGTGTACGCATTGCGATTGCCACACACAGAGCTATGCAGATGACACTCAATTATACATACTTATTATTACACAGGGAGCACTTTCTTATTAGACTGGAAAAGCATTATACTAAATGCCAGTCCATTTCCATTAAGCCTCATCCACAGTGACTTGGATGTCAGGTATGACTTTGTAGCTGCTTTGTTGCTAACAGGAAGACATTCATACGCTAATACAGTAAACCTGGTGTAAATCTGGTGAACAGAGTACATCGGCTAAACATCAGTGTGTTGATATTCTCATTGTAACACATGTAAATCTATTTCATGTTGCACCATGAACGCGTTAGTAATTGTGAGGTGGGCCTTCTGCTGTTGAAAGACACAAAACTATTGTTGAAACTCAAACAGAACTTAAACAGTTTGTATTCAATTGCATTTAAGAAATATATATAACAGTAGTTATATTTAAGGATGTCTGATTACTCAGGCCTCACTACGTACCTTTACTTCAGTCTTTTCTTTTTTCATTTTCAATGTCAGTTTTAATTCTTGAACTATAATCATTTGCGTGATTTTTAGATTCCTAAAAGTCTTTTTTTTGTCCTTTGTATTGACATTCATTGTATCCACTGCCTAATGACACTATTTTAGCTTTCATCCCTATCCCCTTTTTTAAATTGGGGGCCTTAAATGGCCATGTCAGCGATATCAGCTCTCATAGTCTCTTTGCTCATACAAAACTTTGAAACTTTGTCCATGTTTAATATGACCATACCCCATCGTAACAAACAGAAAACAGGGAAAGGTATAATGGTCACCTTTAAGTGACATTCTAAGATGAGACGTTTTTTATAACAAAGAAGCACTAGTGACTAATATTAAATCTCAGTGTAAACTCTGGACTCTGTGACCACTGTGAACATATTTGAAGTGACGTTAAATCGGTTGTGCATGAAGTACCATAGATAACCGATAAAAGCAGATGATGTTCTGATACCATACTGATGTTGTCACCAATCACTTATATTTGCCATAGACACTTTAAATTTTGATTTAAAGTTTATGTAAACACTTAATTTTCGTATGGCTTCGATAAATTAAACTCAATTTTATTCCATGTGTCTTCCAAAAAGTGAGGGAGCCTAACCCCAGAGCCAGCACCAGATCCAACATCAGCATCGGGTCCAGCATCAGCCACAGACTGAGCCCCAGAGCTAGCCCCACCCCCAGCCGCAGAGAATCTCAGTCACTCTGGAGCAGGTCTAGCCAGAGCCAGGCCACAACTCCTACTCCAGTCCCAGCAAGCCTCACTCCTGCTCCTACGCCTGCTCCTGCTCCAGCACGGGCATCTACTGGACGTATGTTTGGATTGTTTCCATTTTCTGTCACCTGCTTTCAAAAATAAGTTTTCAAAAATTAATAATAATATTAATACAGCTTTGACAAACACTATGACATGGATTTGACATCTGATTCATGGTATTCTCAGATTTTAGTCGAATGGCGTCGATCAGCAGCATCTTCCGCTCCAATCGCCGTGGCACCAGCCAGGCTACTCCAGCCGCACAGGCCAGCAACACACCGTCCGCAGGAGGAAATCCATGTAGGACCTGACTCCAACAACACTCATACTCTCTTTGCAATCTCAGTAACCAAACCATTAAGTGACTAGTAGATGGGGTGTTTCTGAAGAAAAGATGAAAAAGTGGTTAACATGGTTACATTAAAAAGTTCACTTTTTATAAAAGAGGTTCAAATTAAAGTAAAAGTAGTTCAAGTGTCAGTTTAAATGACGCTTCGTTTCAGTTTAGGCTTTGATAGGTTTTGGTGTTGATCATGAAAATGAAGGAAGACATAAATGTCAGTGCTGAATAAAGCTGAAGTGTCAGTTTGAGTTAGAAAAAAGTGCAAGCAACAAGTGAAGCTGGGAATCAGCTGAAGTAAAAGTGCTGGAAAAGTCGATCATTTAAATAGTTTAGTTGCAGTGACATTGAAGTGTAGAGAATAAAGCAAGCTGGATGAGAGGGAGAAAAGGAGTTACAGATCGCTGTGTACTTTACAGGACAGTGAGTGGAAGTGTCAGCTGATGTGTAAAAACTGAAAGTTGGAGCAAGTGTTGTTCAAAGGAGGAAGCCTGAAATGTTTTGAAGTCGAGGTGTGAGGAGTTGGAGTGACGGCATGAATATCGTTTAGCATGTAAGCAGTGAAAGCATTGAAACATCTGTTGATGTTGAAAGATCCGAAACTCAGTACCAGTAATAAGGGGGGGG